GCGCGGATCTGCGCGATGGGGCGCGCCCAAATGGGGGGGCGCGGAAGGGGCGGCGCAAGGGCGCTTGAAGGCATTTTAGGATTGAACTTTTTATAGGCCCTTAGTTCTCAGGGTCCACTCGCCCAAACTTGAAGCGCGCTGGGCGCGCCCCACCCACCAATGACCCATGACATGTTGACGTCGAAACGACGACGATGACGACGACGTCGATGACGAAGACGACGATCTTGGTCTCAAGACGACGACGACGACGACGACGACTACGCAGTTGCGAAAAGACTCCTGGGAAGCCGCTGCAACGGCGATGCGGCCCGCGCGTGCGACAACGCAATCTGAAGAACAACGCATATCGACGCGAGCCCCTGCGCGTCGCAGGGGCGCCGCCCAGCGGCGGCGAGATTGCGCGGAGTGGCTGCGCAAGGGTCGCTGCAACGACGACGCGGCCCGCGCGCGCGCCGACGCGCTTCGAAGACAGCGCGCATGGGCGCGAGTCCCTGTGCGCGGCAGGGACGCCGCCCAGCGGCGGTGAGATTGCATGGAGCGGCTGCGCAGGGCGCGCAGGATAGCTCGTTGCCTCGAGGAGAGGGAACCGCACGTGCATCCTCGGGGCTGCGGCGCGGCGCGCGCAGGCCGATGCAAGGGCGATGTGCAGCGCGCGCGACGCGACGCCACGAGCTCTCCGCAGCGCATGGACTGGTTTGACACGAAGTGCGCGGGATGGTTCGTTGCATGGCGAAAGAGACCCCACGTTTGCATCCTTGGCACCGCGAGGCGATGCGCGAAGGCCGACGCATGAGCGATGCGACCCGCGCGCGCGCGAAGAGACAGAAAGGGCAGCCCCCCCTCAAAAAACACTGAACAGCAATTTGCCGACGCCCTGGCCATGCATGGCCTAGCTCGACGCGAGGCGCACGGGATAGTTCGTTTCTTCCACGAGAGGCCCCTCCCCCCCCCTAGCATACTTGGGATTGTAGCGCAGCGCGCGAAGGGCGATGCAAAGGCGATGCGACGCGCGCGCACGCGAAGCGACGAAACGGGTAGATCCTCGCGGCGCCCCGACCGACCTCGCTCGCCAGCGCGCCACCTGCCGCGCTCCTCGATCCCCGCCATGGGCGCGCTGGGACTCCTCGGCTCTCCCGCCCGCGCTGCGCCCGGCGCCGCTGGTCAGAAGCGCGCCTTCGAGTCCCCGGCGAGGGAGGGGCGCCGCGAGAGGCTGCGCTGGCCGGACCACGTCTGCTTTGCCCTTCTGGACCACGAGGGAGAGTCCGTCGTCGACAAGGCGCGTCGGCGTGGAGGAAGGAAGAGGTCGCGCGCGCGGGCATTGGCGCGCCCCCCTGGGGCGGGGGAGCGATCGCGCGTGAGCGTCCTGCTGTTCCACGCGGTGCGTCGCGCCAGTGGCCTGCGTCAGCCGCCGCGTCAGGGCCCCCGTGCGTCGTCACGCGCGATCCCCTTTTCTCCGCGTCGACTAGGTGCCTCTGGACAAGCTGTGGGGGGCCGCGGCCCAGGGCTCCCGGCGAAATCCCACGCTAACTTGTCGAGCGATTCGGGATATCGCGCGTCGGGGTCGGGATCGGCCAGACGGCGGGGGCCTTGGCGGCGGCGGTCGGGAAGCTCCGGGACGATCCCTACATCAAGGCCGAGCGTCAGAAGAAACTATCGGAGAAGGCTCTGCCCGAGGCCAACGCGTCGCTGCCGCGCTTGGACGGACTGAATCGCGGCCGCGGCTCGGGGGCCACGAGCGCCATGGACAAGGGCGTCAGTTTCGCGAAGCTCAAGGCTGCCGCGGGCTCCTCGGCCGGCGGGGTCGGGGGCGGGGGCGGGGGCGGCGGCGCCGCCGCCCCGCCCAAGCCGGAGGGCCTCAAGGCGTCGGCGAAAGCGGTGCGCGAGTTTCTGTCGCAGCCGCAGGGCGCCCTGCGCGGGCTGCTGAGCATCCTGGCCAGCGGGGGCCTCTTTTTGGATTGCGCATGCGTTTGAAAAGGTGGCGCGGGCCAGGGTGCTCAACAAGCCCCTGGACCTCGAGGCCTTCGCAAACGCCGTCGGGTCCCGCTGCGCCAGCGCCGCGGCCGGCGAGGCGCCGCTCGGCCGCGGGGTGGGCGATGCGCAGGGCCTCCTCGCCGCTTGAGGCCCCCGCGCGCCCGTGGCCGCCCGCCCCGCGGCCCCCGTGCGTCTGGCCGGGGCCAGCGCCAGGCGCGATGCATGTCGGCACTAAATAGCGTAGAGCCTTTCGCGAGCAAAACAAAGACCTCGACCGAACAGGAGTGCCGTTTGCCAGAACTGGGTACGTCCCAGGCGTTGCGTTCGCGGGGACTGATGGCGACGCCGAGGCCCTCGCGGAGTCAGTCGGTGATTGGGGCGTCGCGCCCCCCCCCCCCCCTCACAGGAAAAGATGCATTGGGGATGCTTCTGCGCCGCTGCGCTCCGTCATCCGACGCGACGCGACGCGCGATGGCATCGGCCCCCAGAGCGCCATTCATGGGGTTTCGGGGCCACGGATCTGCGTGAGGGGTGCGCCCTGCGATTTGCAAAAACTCCCAGAACAACATTCCTGGCACTCCGAGGGCACGGATCTGCGTGAGGGGCGTGCCCAAACGGGGGGGGCGCGGAAGGGGCGGCGTAAGGGCGCTTGAAGGCATTTTCGGATTTAAATATAGGCGCTTAGTTCTGCTAGATCGCGAAGATGCGTGCGCTCCGAGCGGGGCGCAGCGCGACATTAGGTGGCCGAGCTGTTGGTCGTGGCAGCACGCGTGCGCAGGCAGCGCCCTGGCAGCCCGCGCAGGGCTCGTTTCGGCACTCGCCGGCGCCAGGCCCGACATGCCCCGGGCCCGAGGCCAGCGTCCCAAGGGTTGCAGCATTAGGAGGAAAAACACACAGACACAAGTCATCGTCGATTTCCCAGAAAATAGAGAAAAGATGGGCAGTGGGGAGAAGGCAGAAACCCAGGCACTATGGGAAAAGATGGGGAAGCCATTGGTTTGCGTGTATTTATTTGTGTGTCCCAGGGCCCCTTCATTCTCAGAAGGCCTGAGCCGAAAAGCCGGAACACATAAAATTTGTGGGAGGAAGACGGGAGAAAGAGAGAGAGAGAGGGAAAAGAGGTAGAGGAGGAGGATGACACGCAGGCCTCCCAGTCACTAGGAGGCCTGCGTGTCATCCTCCTCCTCCTCCTCCTCCTCCTCCTCCTCCTCCTCCTCCTCCTCCTCCTCCTCCTCCTCCTCCTCCTCCTCCTCCTCCTCCTCTACCTGAGGCCCACTGAGTGGGCCTCTTGGGGTTTCCCGGCGGCCTCCTGGGGGCCTCTGGGGGCCTCTCGGATGCCCCTATGGGGCCTTCTATAGCATCTCGCCTCGTGGCCTTGAGAGGCCGTGTTGGAGGCCCCTGTGGGCCCGTCTTGGGGCCCTCTTTGGGGGTTTTAGGGCAGTCCTGGATGTATGCGGGGTCAGGTTTGGGCCCTCTTGGGGCCGTCTTGGGACCGTCTTGGGGCCCTCCTAGGCCGCCGCGCCCGATGCATCCTCCAGAACCGCTGGATCTTAGCGATTCTCGGTTTATCCGCACCTGATGTTATCTTCGTCCTGGCTTCGTCTTGGTCCAGAGGCATGCTTTGGGTGGACTTCTCTGTCAGGGGCGTGGCGATAGGCTCTGCCTTCCAAGGGGTCACTTAAGGCTCGGAGGCAAAAGCCTGCATACACATAAACGTTCCGAGCTCCGCGCAGGTGTCTTGGGATCGTTGCAGGAGCCCCCTGGCGTCGCCTTTGGCGCGTTCCATGCGACAGGGCAAGGGTCCAGCGCAGATCCAAGAAATCCGCGCGGACCGACAACTGTTTATGTTTATGCAGGTTTCCTTCCTTTGATTATAGAAGCTCGGAGGCTGATGCAATCCCCAGCTTGCGAAGTCGATTTCTTTTCTTCCTTTCCGGTGTTTCTGCGACAAGTACGGGATCGGCGACTGGAGAGTTGCAGCCAAAGACCCACATTCCTGGAAGTGTATGACAGGATATTTTCTTCACCACATGAACGTCTTCTAGTTTTCACCCGCCTGTGCCCTAAGCGGCCGCCCCTTCGCGGGCATGCAGGCTTGACCTTGACCTTTACCTTTTCTAGTGAGGGTCATTACCCCAGGGGAGGGGGGGACCAGGTAACAGGAACGTTTGGACGGGTGGCGGGGCGCGTCGGGGTGGGGGTGTGCTGCGATCGCCGCAGTATGCACACGAGCACCAGCATGTGGGGAAGCTGGCCCAGCCCCTCCCCCCCCCTTACGCACGATCGTTGCAGTTATCCGGGGGGGCGGGGGCGGGCAGTGTTCGTTCCGCGCCAGCGGATAAATCAACAATATGATTGGTTGTCTTCTGCTTCTCCAGAAGGTGCTGCGGCTTCCATGTTTGCGGGCCCGCGCCTGCCGGGGCTGGTCCTTGGCCGCCTCCATTGAAGGGGGAGGAGGGGGAGGAGGAGGAGGAGGAGGAGGAGGAGGAGGTCCGTAGCCATTTTGGCTCAAGTCCTGTGCGTGCCATCGGCGAGGCATTCCCACAGTTGTCAGAGATGAGGAGACCTCGCGCTCGCCGCCCCGTGCTGCTGCTGAAGAGGCTGCTGATGCTCGTCTGTCTCCGGAGGATAGATACGATCTCGTCGCCACTTTCCCGTCACAGAAAGCTGCTGCAATCGCTGCCGCCCCCGCCGCAGAATCACAGCCATCTCAGGGTGGAGTTCCGCGTGATGGCGCCAGCGCATTCCGCCACCTGCCCGTCGGCCATGTCGTGCTTGCCAGCCCGCAGCATGAGTTTGACGTCGTGAGAGGAGAGGAGGATGTGTGTGAATATGTTGGCAGTGCGAAACACCATTTACCCATCGCAATCAATGCCATTATGTTTTCGGTTTCTCTAGTGGCCACGACGGTGCAGACGGGCAACTCGCAGCTCGGACGACAGGTGGAAAGTCGTACGGCAAACGTTGAGAACACACAAGCCGAACAAACTCGTCTCACTCAATCGTTGGATCAACGGGTACCCCAGATGCAGAAACAGCTCGGCCTCATGCGCACCGAGACCCCGACCAAGTCCGAGATCAACGCCTCGCTCCAGCGCGAGAGCGACCTCGCGATCATCATCTGCCGGTCGAAGGCAATGGTTTCTCGCTCGAACGTGCCGGATCGACTGCAGGAGTGGTTAGCCGCCGCGAGTTGCAGCAACGACGATTTCGACATCATCGGAGAGCCCGCTTCGAAGAAATTTACGCTCCAGTTCAAGAGTGCCTCTGGCTACGCCTCACGCGAGGTCAGCCAGTGCCTTCCCCAGCCCACGAACGGCCCGAACAGACGGCGCCGTTTCAGTGGATGGGATGCATTCAGCCAAGCAGTGGAGGTGCACGCGTCTGTCGACAAATCCCTGTACCAAGTCAAGTTCGAATTGCTTCTCAAGCAGCTGCGCCGCACGACCAACGGGTTGCACCCAATCGCGGAGCTCTTCGCCGACGAAGCTCGCGGGGAGATCGCCCACCGTTGGAAGCAGCTGCTCCGCGTTATCCCTAATGCTGGCGCTGATCACAAGGTCGAGTGGGCGCTTGCCAACCTCCGTGAGTTCGGCATGGACAAGAATCTCATCGCAGAGAACATCCAGCAGCACCCTGCGAACCCACAGCTGACAGAGTGGAGTCTGCAGTCTTTCCTTCCGGCAGCGGTGTGGATCACTGCCATATTCGGGAGCGCTGACATGTACGACATGGAACGCGCGCGCTTGGTCACCATAACTTGCCGTTGAGGGATCGCAAGTTACGATATCTATCTAAGCTGATCTCGCCCAGCTCGGTAGTGGTCATCCAAGAGTCATACGGAGTTGCGTTGCGGGTCCAAGATGATCTGTATAACCTTGTGTACTATGATGCGTCCCTTTCTGGCAGCTTCGTGATTTTGTCCTTCGGAACCTTGTCATCCAGCTGGTTGCGTTATCACCCTGTGTTTCAATTCCCCTGCTCTTCATCATCGCCGCCCTCCTGCTGTCACGGAAGACGCATTTGTCGTGGGAGCCGTTTTTCGGGAGCAGTTTCGTTTCCAGGACAGCGTCTCCTGGGTCCACTACAATATCCATAACCATGGGTTGTCTGCGGTTGTCTCGGAGCGGCCCTAAGACGCATCTAGGGAGATCTCTGGGGTGTTGAACGCGATCCTCTGCGTAGGTTGATCGTCGCGTACATTGTTAGCAGCCCGCCAGTGTTGCTCAATCACTTCGACCCTGCAGCCCCTCGAGATCCCGAAGCTGCCTGCCACAGGGCTCAGCGAGCCTCCCAGCCCCCCCAGAGGACCTCCCTCATGTCGTGGGTAATGCGTTGAAGTCGCTCGTGGAGCTTGAGAGCGACGATTTCACGCGCTTCGATGCTGCCCACAGGATGCTTGGACGAATTGGTCGTGCCTCTGTGTCCCCACCAAGGTGTAGCCTGACTCAATTAAGATCTGTTGCGCGTGTGCACGGCCTGACAGAGATCCCCGGCCGCGCGAAGATGTCCGACCATGCCGCCCTCGCGACCCCCGTCTGTCCCCGCCGCCCCCTTTCTCCCGAAGATAGGCCTGTGCGCCGCGATCTGTCTGGTACTCCAGCGTGCGCCGACTTCATTTCGAATGCGTCGGGCCTGTGTGCGCCGCGGCTGCCCGACTTTATTAAGACGACGATGAGAGAGAGGCAGCCCGACGCGCTCGAGGCTCGATCGCAGCAAAGAGCCACCCCCGACCCGCTCGCCCAATGCATTGTCTGTCGCTCGATCGCCAGGGCCCTCTGTAAGCGGGGTCGCGACCTCGTCAACCGCTTCGTTCTTACCCGCCTGATCGATCGTGAATTCAGAGTGTTTCCGACCTTCGATTCCTCGGTCTCGCTGAAGGACCCAGTTCGGTTCATTCAGCTCTCGAGCGACATCCGCGCGACGCGCAGAATCGGACCGAGCGGCAGTTAGGCGAGGGCCCCCCAGCCCGTGCGAGAGCCAAGCTTGCGAAGAAGCTGCGGGGCCTGGGACGCCGCGGGAAATTCTGGCTGCCACATGGCAGCACATGGGCGGCTAGCCCACCCGTCTGGAAGTAAGAGTCTAGCAGAAGTTATGCATCGGATGATCGACGGGAGCCCCGCGGGCCTCGATCTCAATGACGCTTGTGGCGCCGTTTTCGCTGGAGGCCGCGGGCCTGGCGACGCTGCCAGCCTTGTTCGCGCGCCTCGTTCAACGCGCCCGCTCGGCGTCAAAAACGCGGACTCAAGAGAGATCGCAGCTGCTTGCGCGCGCGAGCTCGCGAAGGCACTTCTTCGGCGCGTCGACCCGATGCAGCGCGGATTCACCCCGACTCTTAACCTCGCCCACGGCGCCCACGAGCCTTCGGACGCCCGCGTGGCAGGTCTCGAATCCCAAGCTAGTGAGCGCCCCCTCTCCTCCTCGTCTTCGCGTTCGGTCGCGCGCTTCCCCCCGCCGCCCGTGCTTGGATCTTTTTCGCCCCTCCCCCCCCCACCCCGCCCGCCCACCCACCCGCCCTTTCACTTCCCTCGCCTGCCCCTCTTCTATGACTTTAGCTGCGGAGCTGCGCGCTGCCCTGCCCGGGCTGGCGCCCCCCTTCCGCCCCATTCTCCCCGCTGGTTCTGGCGCCCTCCAGCGGCGCTCAGCTTCCGGGGCGCTCTGCACCCTTGCATCCCAGCCTTTCGACGCCCACTTCCGCGTCGAAATCGCGCGTAATAGCAGCGGCATACTGCGATGTTACGCGGGCGGAGTCGGCGCTGTCATCCACAAAATCGCCTGGCTTTACAACTTGTATAGCGCGTTCGCTGCCGCCGCGAGAGTTGCGGGCCTGCGCCCAATGCGAAGTGCGTCGCGGCCCCCCTGCGCGGAGAATTCGCGCCTGAGCTTCAGACGCGCGCGCGGGCGCGGCTCGAGCGAGAGTTGCCCAGCTGGGCGAGGCTCAGCAGCGCCCCGCATCGCACCTACCTCGGGCGAGAGCTCGGCCCTGGCATCGCGCGCCAGCTGCGGGAAGATCTGATCGGAAATCATGTCTCAAGAGCCGCTGCCACTGCCCGCGCTCGCCCGCCGCCGCAGGTCATTTCGAAGCTCTAGAACCAAAGATGCACTTCGATTATTTCGTTGCGTTTCCCAGCCCTCCCTTATCCGCCCGCGCGTCCCCCTGCAGGAGCATGCAGTTTTGGCTGGCCATTTCGCGGTCGGTCATTTCGAAATTTGCCGCGCTGGTTTTTCCAACTTTCCAGGTTGGGGTTGTCCGAAGATCCAGGGCCTCACTGTCATGGATCTAGCCACGCTTATCCGCTCAGCCGTCCGCACTTACGATTGCTGGCCCCAGCTTCAAGAGAAAGTTAAAATTTGTACTGGACCGAATATGCCGCTGATCCGCGCCATGGCTGGCGACCTCTCGCCCTCTTTCTGGAGCCCCCCCCCTGTGATGATGTCCCTCGTTGAAGCTGCTGGCGGTTTCAAGAACCATCCGAAGTGGAAGAGCGCTGGCGCGTTGGCAATTCGGGTGGCTGTCGAAGCGAAGGCCGACCCCTCGCGTTGTTTTCAGATCCAGAGTCATGTCTCCTCTTCTCTGCTCTCCTCGTTGTATCCCTCTGCCCTCCACGTCACCCTCACTCGCTGCCTGCTCTCGTACTTTCCCGCCTCGTTCCCTGCCATCGCCGCCATCGGTTGGCCCCGATTGCAGACTGTTGCGACATTGTTGCCACCGTCGTGGGCCGTCGCGGTCATGAAGGCACTGTGCGGCGCTTGACCAACTCGTGCTCGTTTTCACGGAAACGGAGAACAGTTTTGATGTTTTGGGCGCTCGAAAACAGATGCCATGCTCACGGCCTCTCGTGCCCAAATTTTTGCAGCTCAGATGCTCTGTTCTGGGGAGAAACAATGAAAGGACCTTGCCTGCATGTCTGGTCGCACGCCTCGGCCTTCCCGTTCCGTCCCCGTCCTCGCTCGCGGTCAGTGTGGTGTCGTTCTCGCTATATTTCCACCTCTCCAACCTCCCACAGGCGAAGTCAGTGCTCGGAAATCCGCCGCAGGTCGCACAAACTGCATTGCCCCATGTGCACGACAGCGTCTACCGCCAGGGCTATATAGCTTAGGATGAACCTGGCCCGCCGCCGCGAGCCAAAAGGAGGAGGAGGAGGAGGAGGAGGAGGAGGAGGAGGAGGAGGAGTAGGAGGAGGAGGAGGAGGGGGGGGGAGGAGGAACATTGTTTTCCTTCTCCTCCCCCGTCCACCTCCTCCTCCCTCCTTTTTCCTCTGGGTTGTGTTAAAGAGGTGTTTCTGTCCACTCCCGATGGGAGCCCCTCTGCCCTCCAAGGGGCCGTCCCGGAACCCTCCAGCAGGTGGCAGGGCTGGCCCTGCCGAGAAGCCCTCTTCCTACTCGGAGTGCCCGCCCCTCGGCACGGCCCCCCTTCGCGCCGCGTGCGCGTCGCCAGACGTAAAACGCCCGCGCGCGCACCCGGTCCCGCAAAAGGATGGGTCTTACACGGGCGGTGCCGCCACGGAACGGTGTGGGGGAGGGGGCGGTCCCCGCCTCTGGATCGCGGAGATGTCGTCTGCTCCTGATGTCAGTGGCTGTCCTTTTTCCTTTCCCTGTGTCCGCCCTTCTCCTTGTATGCTCGTTTGGGGGACCTTCTCGGGGCCCACCGAACGGATCTGTTCGATTCGAGTTCGGCCCCACTTCGGCTCAAGTTCGACTCGTGTTCGATTCAGGTTCGACTCAAGGTCGGCTCGAATCGACGGGCCTTCGAGGCAGCGTCGACGTACGAGTAGAGCGGGTGGCTCCAGCAAAATCCACAGAATGAACATCCAATTTTCCCCCCTCCCTCCCCGTTGCCGTTCCCTCCTCCTCCCCGCTAGCGGACACCTGCGTCTCCAGCCAGGTGCGCGCGCTTCAAAACGCAGGGGGGTCATCAGAAGATGCCCCCCTCCAGTCCCATCTGGCCCCGTCGGCGTGGGCCTTTCTGGCAGTGGGACGTGGGGGCTGTGGAAGTGGGGGTATCATCTTGGGTTGCCTGATTTCGGTTGGGGCCGTGTCCGGGGTCGTCGGCGCCCGTGATTTGTCGCGTGCCGCAGGAGTCGAAGGTCGTAATTATTCAGGTGGGTTGCGCCATTCCGCCGACCACCCAGGTTGGGCCTCTTGGGAGGCTCCTGGGGGCATCTGAGGGGCGTTTCGGGTTTTCTTGAGAGCCACATTGGGGGTGTCTTGGCGTCGAAGATAAGTACATGCTGAAGTTGATGCCCGAACGGAGCGCGCAGCAGACAATCTTTGATATCTTCAGTGCCCTCGGCAGTCGGCGAGATACCAGCGGCATAACGACGACCGGGGCCGGCGTACGGTGGGAGTGCTCGTTGAGGAATGTGCGCAGGAGGTTTCAGACCCTGGAGCGTTTCTTATCTGAAGAGGGCGACGGTGATATCCATGACCAAGCCTCAGTTGGGTTCCTTATCCAATGCCCTCACCGTAAGAGGTGGTGTCACATCTCGGGCACGTTTTTCTGCAGACGAGTGAGGCGTGCGATAAAACCTCGGGATGCGATTCAATATGCGATCGGAACGATTGAGGCTCGACTTCGTGGGCACCGAAATTGTTGATAGTATGCGGTGCCGTTCCCACCAGGCACGCGTGGATAACGCTGTGCACGCCTCGATCGTGGCCCCCAGTCGCCGACGCGATCGGGCAACGCCCACTGCTGTAGACGCATCTAGGCGCTGCGGCGCCCAGTCAGGGCACAGAGGAAGTTGAACCATGTCGCTTGATTCAGTCTTCAGGCCGCCCTGGCAGCACAGTCACCGTGCCGAGGTCCATCGATCTCTTGAATCTGACATCTGATTCAGACATCGACGTCCTCATCAACCAGATCGTGTTCGAGGAGCCCCTGATATCCGAAGGGAAGAAGGAGACCTTGCGGAAGATGCTTTACAAGGTGAGCAATTTATTGCCAACTGCGACGAAATTTGGGGAGGTTTAGGGGTACCGCTGAAGGTGGATTCGCTGAAGGTGGATTCGTGTCGAAGCAGAGCCAGGTCACGATATTCGGCGCTGCGCGTGGTTACCCCCGTCGGAGACGGAGGCTGAGAACAGGGCAGGAGGACAGGACCGCCGCGGAGCGGGGAGGAGGGGGCGGAGTCGGAGCGGGAGGCCGGTGGAGCGGGACGGGTCGAGGGGGGAGGGACCGTACATGGACGTTGGATTCGAACCCTGTGGCCCAAGATGCCCCCCATACCCTCCGAAATTAAGATTGATGGCGTGGCGACGGGGGGGCCGTGAGTGGACAGAAATATTCGAACCCAAAAGAACCACCTTTACTGGGATCAACATTGATGTCGGGGGCGCGGGGGTGATTTAGAATCTCCCTCGAATGTGTAAGGGTTCGAATATATTGTCCATCTACTGGAGGAAGGGGGCACGGATGAGAAGCGGAGGACGGTCGGACCGGGGTACGAGATCGAGATTCGTTCGGGGAGGGTGTGATACGGTTCTTCGTTTCTGTCGGCTACTGTCGTGCATCCTGGGGGAGGGTGCCCTCGAATGTTTTTCGGTTTGGCTGGCGGAGGATCTCATGTTCTTGAAGGAAGTTCTTCTGTCCTAGGTCCAGCCGTACGGTAGGTTCATGCGGCGATGGCGCGCCAGCGATGGCGCGCTGGCGACGAATGCGTTCAAGGTTGAAATCCGCACGATAGAGCGACGCGGAGGCACCGAAGGACTCGCCAGCGCCGCAGGACCCAGCGGGATTCAGCCTTGAACGATCGGGGCCGCGATCGGTTCAGGGTTCAGCGATCGACGCGGTGTCAAAAACCTTTGCGCGCGCAGACGCCTCACAAACCTACCGTAATGGACGATACGTTAATATACACATCGTATTTGGTGCGCGTTTGAAAACAACGCTCTGCGCCAGCTCCTCGACAAGATCGAGAACAAGGAGCAGCAGGACGCTCTTCATTGGAAATATGTGCCCCTTGTGGCGGGGGGAGGAGCGCCAGCCTCGCAACCCCGGTATGGCAGATTGCCTTGCTGGCAGTGTTCCGTTGGCGTGCTTTCCTGCCAAGAGTGCGACGGCAGCACGAGCCCGAACAACGCATCATGTTCAAAGAAGGGTCAACAAGCCAGAGTGGCTTCCGATATGATTGGGGCAGTGCATGTTGCCATTCTATGTAGTCTCGTGGCAGCGCATAGTTGCGACCGCGGCTGGTAATGCTCGCGCGCGGCACGGTACCAGTTTCGTTACGCTCCCGTGCCGTGTCCAGGCTGGTGCCGCTTTTAGATTTCATTCATTCGTTGGGAGGGGGAAGGGGGCGTGCTTGATCGGGGCGAGGGGGTGGAGGGGTCCACGGACGCCCCCCGCCTTGCATATAGTTGTTTATGTGTACATCCGTGTGCCATGTATATCGCAGCGAGGCCGAACGTTTGCGGACTCGGGGCAATATGCAGTTGCATGTTGACCACGGTTGTTTGGATGGGGTGCGATGCTGGGTTCAGGGGTCGACCCCCTTGCGATGCTGCTGTGCTGTGTTGTTATTGTTGTTGGGGGTGGATGCTGTTATTGAATTCGCCTCCGTTGTCGTTCAACCAAACAGAAGCAACCCGCCCGCCCACTCGCTCCCTCCTTGTCCCCACATTTATCCTTCCGCCCCCTTTCGAGCCTTATTTCTTCTCTACTGTGGACTGTCTACTCTTATTTCGTTTTCTTCGACCATACAGTCCCAGAATCATTTCTTGGAAATGGAAGCTCGCATGGGGGCCACTGTCATAGCAACGTCTTCATCAGGGTGCGAGTGGTACTGTCTGCCTTCGGCGTCCCAACACCATGTCGATGGGCAATTTCTTTGGTTGACCGTCAGAGACTGATTGGGAGTGCATCCCGCGCTCGCGTGGCTGCCGCGCTTTCCGCGGCGTCGTTATCAGGGATGACGAGTTGCAGAAGCGGAGGGCCTGGGTCAACCAGGACGCAGTCAAGAAGCCCGAGTGGTGGCAAGACCACGTAGACTTGGTCCTCGACGGCGTCACTTTCACAATGGGCCCGAAGCCTCTGGACAAGCGGCAGCGTCACATGGCGCAATCGATCCGCCAGACGTGGATGAGGAAGGGCGATGATTCCGACCCTGACTGCCACGTGTACAACAGGTACGGCATCCAGCTGGGGACAAAAGTGCCGGAGTGTGGCGGATTCGCCTGACGGGGGCGTTTCTCCTCAGGCTGTGGACGCCCAGGCCTAAGATGGTGAATGAGGAGTGGGCCAAAAATGCCCCCGCGCTGAAGCGCACCGTAGATGCGGGTGGGTGCCGCGCGCAGAAAAAGCGCGCAATGGTCTGGCACGACGGCGAGTCTTCCTTACGGCAGCCTGTCGCGCGCGCGAAGAATGGGTTCGCGTTAGTGCGGTTCCCTCCAAATTCGGGCGATCCGAACCCGATCGAGACGGCGCGGGCGTGGCTGCGCAGAGACTTAGCCCTGCGAGAGCATGAGGACTTCAGCACCAAGAAGGTTATCACGAAGGCGCAGTTAGCGCAGTGAGCCGCGCAGATCTTGAAGAGCCACGAAGAGAAGGTGCCCGGCCAGAAGTGGAATCGCTTGCAGAAGTTCGCGCAAGGGGTGCCCGCTTGCCCAGCGCAGTGCAAAGCTCGCCGCTACGGGAGGTGCGGGAAGTAGACAACGCACACAAGACAATGTGCGGCGGCAGCAATTTGCGAGTCCCTGTTTCGCACGAGCCCGCCAGCCAGGCGCGGCGCCAAGCTCGCCGATGCGGGAGGCGCGGGGTGCACACAAGGCACGCAAGGCAATGCGCGTTGAGAGAAAAGTGCGAGGTCTTGCTTTGCACGCGACCAAAAAGAACGCCATCGCGACATGCCGTGCGCGCCCCGTGCGATCAACTTGTCTCTGCGGTCGCCGCCTAGGACGCGTTCGGGACCGAGGGTTTCGCGGCGCTGTGAGACCCCGTGAGATGAGCGGATGCGCTTGGCGCCGAGGGTCTCGGGGCACTCAAATACCATGTGAAGCGCGCGGGTGCGGCCGGCGCCGTATATTCCGTGGCGCTGTGATACCAAGTGAGACGCGCGGATGTGATCGGCCCCGAGGCATTCGCGTTTTTTAAGACTTGGCGAAGCGCGCGGATGCGTTCTACGCGCAGGGTTTCGGAGCATTCGGGGTCCGCGCTAATCACGCGCGTCCAGTTGGCGCCTAAGACGGCTCATGAGGGGCCTTCGACTGCCAAGGGGGCCCCCAAGACGGGCCCAGAGGACCCCGGGGCAGCTTCTCCACACAGCCCCGAGGGGTACCCCACCCGACAGTTCCAGCTTTCCTCGCCAAAAAAGCGCCCCGGCGACGCCAAGAAACCTCCAAGAGCTCCCGCAAAAAAAGAAGAAGAAAAAACAAGCGGGCCCCAAGGGGCCGCCATGAAGCCCGAAGAGGCTCCCAAGAGCCTTCTCCCCAGACGCCCTGAGGTACCCTGGTCGATCCCGAAGCTTCCGGACAACTCTCGGCATCCTGAGGCCCCCAACGGGCCCCGGGACCGTCAAACGTTTAGGACGAATCTTTGCATGGGCATATGGAAGTTGTCCGGACCTCGGGGCCACTACGGGGACCCCGCATTGAAAAAAGACGAGATCGGAACTCTTGGTAAGAATGACAAGCCGGTCCCGTGGAAGGGGCCAGGTTTCCAGGAGCCGACGTATAGCAAAAAAATCACTGCGCCTGAAGACCGGGCACCTCTCTCCTGTCACCCCTCCCCCCAGAACCCCTCGCGTCATCAAATGATCACGACGGGAGGTTTGCGGCCGTTTGCGGCCACCGGTGGCTCTCAGCCGGCCCCGGGGCCATCAAAAAACGAGGGTGCAAAACCGGTCCCGGGTAAAGCGTCCCGACCTCCAGGCCCCTCCCTCCCTCCTTTTCTTCCCTCCCCCCAGACCTTTCCCGAGAAAAACACGACCAGAGGTTCTCGGCTGGTATCGGCTTCCACTTTCGTTGTCGTCGTCGTGGTCGACGTCGTGGTCGTCGTTGTCGTCGCCGTCGTCGTCGTCGTCGTCGTCGCCGTCGTCGTCGTCGTGGCCGCCGTCGTCGTCGCCGTGCCGGCCGACGTCGCCGTCACCGTCGTCGTCGTTGTTGTCGGCGTTGTCATCGTCGTCGTCGTCGCGGTCGTCGTCACCGTCGTCGGCGCCGTCGTCGACGTCGCCGTCGCAGCCGTTGTCGCCGTCGCCGCCGCTGACCAATCCATCGAGGATCGGGGTTCAAGGAAGTTTTCGAATGCTTTCAGCCTTCAGGGGCCGCCCCTGGGCCCCAGGAACCCCAGAGGTTCCGGGGAAAAAAACGGCACCGAACAGACCCCGGAAAGGGATCCAGAGACGCATCTGGAGCAGATGTCTATATGTGACCGCCGAGGTCGGCGTCGGCGTCGTCGGCGTCGGTGCGTCGGGAACCCGGGCGGGGACCGCGGCCACATCCTGCCCTGACTCGGCCCACGCGGGGGCGGGACCAATACAAGGACAAAGAAGAGGAGACTGGAGGGGCGGAGGTGGAGGAGGTGGAAGCGCAGAGGAGAGACAGAGGAGGGAAGAAGAAGAGGAGGAGGAGGAGGAGGAGGACCGCTCCAGACCGAATCACCGTGTGGATGTCGTCGTCGACGTCGTCGTCGTTTCGGGGGTGGCGGTCGTCGTTGTCGTGATCGTCGTCGTCATCGTTGTCGTCGCGTTCGTCGTCACTCGTCGCCGCCCCTGTCGTCGTCGTCGTCGTCGCCGTCGCCGTCGCCGTCGTCGTCGATGACCACGCGAACGAAAACGAGTGTAGCAAAACGTGGCGCAGCTGCGACTCGAACCTAAGCGCGCGCGAAGCGCGCGCGTGGTTCTAGCGCGCGTGTGCGTATGTATGTATGTATATATATATATATGTATGTATATATATATACATACATACATACATACATATATATATATATATATATATATATTGCCCCCCCGCCCGTGGGGCCCCGCGAACCTCGCAACCATCTGAGGCGAATCCCTGGCGCCACCCTCCCGGGCGCCCAAGCGAGCCCGCGGAGGGCCTCAAGACGGCCCAGGACGCCCCCGAAACAGTTCAAGAGCGCTTCAAGGCTGTCCAAGACGGCCCCCCGACAGCTCTGGAAGCCCCCCAAACCACTCAAGATCGCCCCGAAAGGATCCCAAAAATCCCCCAAACATCCAGGGGAATTTTCCAGAGGCCAAAATCATTGGAACCACGCGTGATCCATTTCTATAGATATATATATATATATATATACAATACACATTCCACACATTTAGATATATACAGTACAAACATACATATATACATACATACAGACAGACATACATACATACATGCATGCATGCATGCATGCATGCATACATACATACATACATGCATGCATGCATGCATACATGCATACATGCATACATACATGCATGCATACATACGTACATACATGCAAACATACATACATACACATACATACATACATACATGCATGCATGCAGGCATACAGACATACATACATACGTACATACATACATACATGCAAACATACATACATACAGACATGCATATTTTCATTCCTTCATTCCTTCATTCATTCATTCATTCATTCATGCATTCATGCATTCGTTCATTCATACATCTATAATGTTAATGTATGAGCATTCGCGTATCCGATACGCTTCCGAGGTTTGCGCATGTGCCCCAAGAGACTTCGAATATTTTCCCAAGATGCGCCCCGAGTGGCGCGAAGGGGCCCCAAGAGGCCACAAGAGGTGCCCATGCCCGAAGAGGCACCACGGAGGCCCGAGGCCCCAAAGACGTTCCGAAGACGCCCCAATGAGTTTTTGGACCTGCCCCCGAGGCGCTCAGCTCCGAACAGGGCCCCGATGGGGCCCTCAAGAGCTCCAGAGAGTCCCCCAAGAAGCCCCAAGAGGCCCCAAGACATGCCCCCAACATGCTCCAGGAAGGTTTTCAAGACATCCCAAATATGCCCCCGGGAGACTGCGCCGAGACATCCCGCGTGGCGGCAAATCCGGAGGAGGCGTTTCCGCAGTCCTCGTCCCTCCCTTTTCCTTGGTCCCGCTCTCCCTCTCCCTCTTCCCCGCAGCGTTCTTCCTCTCCTCCCTCATCATCATCTCACCTTCACTCCTTCATCCTTCCGCCTCATTTACCCAGCATTCTGCCCCACTATGCGGTAAGAGGCCCAGCTTGACAAAAAATGTTTTGTCCTCAAATCCATGTTTTGTTCAAGGTCGACCCCCGGCCCCGTGTCCTCCTGTCCCAGATATTGGCGTGCCCCAGAGTGCGTTTCCGTTTTCCCCATCCCTCGTTGTCCGTATGCCTCGTTCTCGCTCTCTCTCTCTCTCTCTCTCCTGCTCTTGGTTCTCCGGTTCCCCTTCCACATCCTTCTCCTTCCTCCCCTCCTCGTCCATTTTCCCCACTGCGTCATGTTCCTTCCTCCTTCCTGCTCGTCTCTCAGTCACGCTTGCTTCTCTCCGCTTCCCTCATGCGTTCCTGTCCCCCCCATCCCTCATTCTCATCTCTTTTTCATTCCTTCCTCCCTCCGCCGCCCTCGCCCAGCATCCTGCACCTCTATGTGGTAGGAACCCCAACTTGAAAACAGGTGACTCCTTCGCATCATGTTTTCAAGGGTCGACCCACCCCTCCCTCGGCTTCCTCCTGTCCCAGGCTTTGGCGTGTCCTCCGCGTGCGTTTCCGTCTGCCCCGTCTTATAGTTTTCGCTGTGGCATTCCTTTGGTTGTCGTTGTGCGGCATCGTTCCTCATGGCGCCCCGTCCCCAGTGAATATTCAGTAAATCCTCGATTCTCCTGCGCCCACTTCATCCCTACGGTTTCACCCCAACTCCTTCGCGCGCGCAGAGGTAAAACCTAAGCTCGAGCGAAGAGCGCGTGGTTGTAGTGTGTGTGTATATATATATGTGTGTGTGTGTGTAGCCCCCCCTGGCCTGGGGGACGCCCGGTCCGCAACCATCCGGGAATACTTCTTGCTACCATCCCAGCTCGCGTCCCAGAGGCGGCCCAGAGAGGCAACAGGGCCCCAGACAGCGCCCAATAGGGTCCAAGAGGCTTCCAAGACAGCCCAAACGCGCTCCAAGACACCCAGGATGGACCCAAGACGGCCCAAAAGGCCCCAAAGAAGCCCCAAGAGCGCTCGACGAAGACTCCCAAGAGGGCCCAAAGAGGCAAGCATCAGTGATTGTTTTTGTGTTTGTTCAGTGCTTGTTTTGCGTTCTCGCGTTATGGGTTCCGACACTCCAGGTTGGCTCCGTGAGCCCCGAAGACCGCCCTAAGACGGCCCAAGAGGGCCCCAAGATGATCCAAGAGGGTTTCAAATTGGCCCAAGAGAGGCGCCCAAGAGGACGCCAAGATGGCCCCAAGAGGGGCGCAAGACGGGGAACACGAAGCGACCATTCGAGCCGTCCCAAGAGGCACCCTTGGAGGCCACAAGAGGCCCTCATGAGAGCTCAAGAGGCGCCCACGAGGCCCCACGAGGCCCCCGTCAGGCCCAAAAAGAGACCCCCAAACGGCCCCCAAGAGGCATCTAAAATTGCCACCAAGAGGCCCCCGAGAGGCCGTCCATGGTATCCAAACAAACTGCCAAGAGGCTTCTAACCCACAGCCCAGGCACGATGGCGGGATGGGCCGAAGGGTATTCGACGGTCCTAGTCGGCCTCTTGCCGGCCCAAGAGGCCCCCAAGATACCCAAGAGGCCTCCAAGAATCCCATTGAGTTTCCATCAGAGTTTGAGCAATTTTGGCATTTCCGCTTGTTCCGTTTCCCGACGCTGCACGACGCCCCAAGAGGCCGCGAGGATCGCCCCCAGACGGCCTAATAGGTTCATAAGCGCCCCAAGACAGACCTAAGACGGCCCCAAGCGGCCCGAGAGGGCCCCAACCGCGGTCCATGATCGGGACCGTGAACCGAGAACCCCAGATCTTCGGCCCAGCAGACCCCCAGGAGGCCTCAAGAGGTCCCCATTAAGCCCCACGTATTCCTAAGAGGGCCCAAGAGAGGCCCCGAGGGCAGTTGACAAAAAGGGGATTCCAACACTGCTTTATTTTCGAGTTTGCCTGGCAGCTTCGCTACTCTTGCAAAAAATAGCATATCTCCTCCTCCTTCTCTTCCTCCTCCTGTTCCTCCGCCTCTGCGGCCTCCTCCACCCTCTCCAACTCCTGCTCCTCCTCCTCCAGGGACCCCCTTCACCTCCCCTTCTCCTCCCCCTTCCTCCTGCTACTTCCAGCTGCGGCGAGTAAAACGGCCACCGAAGTGCCTCGTGGACCTGTCTTAGGCCACCTTGGGTGGACCGTAGTAAGTCTTGGAAGCCACTCGGGCCGTCTTCATGGTTGTTGGAAACCCCGGAGAAGAAGTATCATAAGATAGAGGTTCCCAAGAATTCGACCATCCAGCCTTGCTAGAACTTGAGCGCGCGCGAAGCGCGCGCGATGGTTCTAGAAGTCTGTATCTCTCTCTCTCTCTATCTCTATCTCTCCCTCTCTTTGTTCTCTCTCTCTCTCTCGCTCTTTCTATATATATATATAGAGAGAGAGAGAGAGAGAGAGAGAGAGAGATGGGATGGCATGCGCCACGCATCTTGCACATTCGCAGTGGAACGACGTACTACTTGGGGAACACTGTGATAAACGCGTTTCTACAATATGCGCGTACTGGTGGCACATACATGACCACACGCGTCCAAATGATAGCGGTCTTGTGCGTCTTACGAGTTCTATGCTACCTGTTCGAGAGCGCATCCAGTCCCCCGGAAGATGGTATAGGAGGGGGAGGAGGAGGGGGAGGAGGAGGGGGAGGAGGAGGAGGAGGAGGAGGAGGAGGGGAGGAGGAGGGAGGAGGAGGAGGAGGAGGAGGAGAACGAGAACGAGGAGAACGAGGAGAACGAGGAAAACGAGGAGGAGGAGGAGGAGGAGGAGGAGGAGGAGGAGGGAGGAGGAGGAGTGGTCCTCCCTCAGCCCACCCATACGCACCCCCACCCCCCTGGATGGGTGCAACGCGGCCGCCGCTTCGTGACGACGAGAAAGAGAATCGTCACCACCGTCCGCGGGGGGGAGGTGGGTGGCGGATGCGCTTCGTGCAGATTGGGGTTGATGTGCGCGTGTTTGCGCATAGGTTGCTACTCCGTGTGCATATCTTGTAGACGCCGTGTGTCCCTGAATCTATGTATGAACACGCGTACGCTGGGCTTTTGGGGTGGACATGCGCGGGCTATCTTGGAGCCGTGTGTGTGTGTGTGTTCATGTGTGCGTGCCCTTCTGAGGAGGTGTCGCGGCGGTCTTGCAGTGTCATTGGGCTGCCTATGGGACTGCCTTGAGACCCCGTGTGGCCCCGTAGACTGTCCAAATGCCTTTTCGGGGGGCTTGGGATCCGCCTTGAGGTTCTTCTTTCGTCGCCGTCTTTCTGCTGGAGGACAGCGCTGAGGTTCTTCTTTCGTCGCCGTTCGTCGCCGCCTTGAGGTTCTTCTTTCGTCGCCGTCTTTCAGGCATGGTTAGTCTAATGCTCGGGCTCATAGGGTGAAGTCGGGCCTGTCCCCCCACAGGAGGAATGTTCAAAATAATCAAATATAGTTTTTGGGCGATGTGTTTGGTAGTTACTTTTGGGCAGTTGTTCTATAATTTTTGTGCGACAATTTTTAATTTGTCATCCAAAATCCCCCTACAGGGGGGCACGCCCACCTTAATCATAGGGTGCCTTTGGCAGTATGCGGGGGCTCCCTGGGACTGTGTTGGAGCGGTCCTCGCTCGTCGTGCGACCAGCTCGGCGCGGTTTTGGGGGTGCCGTAGGGGGCACGCCAGGCCTGGTGGTTGAAACTGCAGGGCGCCGTCATGATTTGTCCATGATCCGCACGTTCCTGAGACAGAAAACGTATGTGCGCGTAGGCTGGGAGGACAATTCCAATTACGAGTGGGGCATGTCGTTGCCAGAGAGAGCAGGGGGCCCAGGACACCCTCGCCGCTGCAGGGAAGCAGTGAACAGCCGATTTCCAGCAGCAGCAAATCTTGCCCGTAGTGCGGTCGCGGCAGTCTGTTTCGGGTCTACCTCCGCCGTGCCGCCTTGTACATCTGAGTTTGAATGCTGTTCCAGGCCGGCGCCGTGAACTAGACACCCTCCTTTATGAACGTGTATCATCGTTGATGTCGATAGCTGGAGTCGCGGAGAGAAGTGTGTTGCTGAGGACAGGTCGCTGCAGAGAATACGACGGCTCGATAACAAGAGTGGCCCCACCATAACCACCGGGCCCACGCCTCGGTTCTGCTAGGTACTGTCGACGCTGATGTCTGCCAAGCCATTCGGCCATGTTCGCATGTGGGATGCATCGGAATGTACTGTTAAGTCGGGCCTGTCCCTCTACAGGGGAAAAATTCAGAAATAGTCAAAAAGTTGTCTGGGGACTATTTTTCCATTTTTGGCAATTTGGGGGTATGTTTGAGTTTTTGTTTTTTATTTGTCGTCCAAAATCCCCCTGTAGGGGGACACGCCCGACCTAAATGTAGTGCATGTTGCCAGCCTGCCACTGTCCGGGTATGAATGCCTGTCCTGTTTGTATGTTTGTTTTTGGCAGGCCTTCTCGAGATCAGGATTCAGGTTGTGATTCCACTTGCTTCTTATACAGTAGATGGCATTTGTATTAAGCCTGTGCGAAGATAAAGCCGCTACCAGCGCTTCTATTTGTTCAAGATTTTGCGGGCTCATATTCTACCGCTTACCAATTGTGCATTCAACAAGTCTGGCTCAAAGGCAGCAGCGCTTTGATTTCCTTAACATATTCTTGCAATTTCCACTCATCAATGCGCGTCTTTCGTCGGGTTGCCCTTGATGTGTTCGCGTTTGGGTATGAGTGTGGCTGCAAGCCAGCTGATGTTGCAAGCTCTGCCGTCAATAGGTAGTCTTTCCATGTTTGGCTTCGTGGTCGAGGCATGCAGGATTGCCTGGCCACGCTGGCCAACAGCTTTCAGGTGTTTCTTCGATTGTGCTGCAACGCAGGAAGGGGTGAATTAGCACACAAAGGCAATAGATGAGACGAGGATTAACTCGGCTCCAAAGTTCATCACTGGCTCCTACGACCGCACATGCCGAGTTTGGGACACGCTCAGTGGCGACGAGTTGCTGACTTTGGATGGGCATAAGAATGTAGTGTACGCGATTGCCTTCAACAACCCCTTCGGCGACAAAATCGTGACAGGACCACTCTTTTCCCTTTGCCGCGCCACCGCGAATGTCGTTCCTTTCCTGGTGATGCTGTTTTCACTTCGTGGCGGGACCATGATGTCGCCAATTCTGTCGCATGTGCTTCTGAGTGTGTTGCAAGATTGCGCTGAACAGTAGGCTTTTCCCTGATTCATGAAAACGCTTATTCCTTGCATGTGTTTCCCTGGGGAGCTCGATGGATTTCTGTGCGCCCCCTCCTATAGCTTTGTTCAGGGCATCTGGTTGGACACGTAATCTGGGCGAAGCTACTGGCAATAATCGCTCCTGAGCCAATTCTCTGCCTGTTCATGACACCAAGCCGCCCTTGTCGTCTGCTGATTATATGAAGTAGACGGGTGTGAACGGAAGACTTGATCTTATCGCCCAAGAATCGTTCTCCATTAACACTCCAACTCTCTCAACAGCGTGCTTGCACTAGGGTGTTCTTATCCCCTGGTGCTTGCAGTCAGGGGCTCTTCCTGGAGTGCATAACTAGCACTGTGGGTCGTTGGCGGCTGTTCGCGTTTGGTTCAGTATTGCTTTGGCCGGTGTGGTTTCGGTTTGCATGTCTTGTGTGTCGATCTGGTCTGCCGCCCCACATGCCTTTTGGGATCTTGGTCGGCCGTTTGTGCTCGGGTCGGTATGGTTCGGGTCGGCATTGCCTCTGTCGGCATGGCCCGGGTGGGCATGGCCTCGTGCCCATTTGGCCCATGAGGATGTGCTCGGCCGTTTGCGCTAGGGTCGGCATGGCTATAGTCGGCATGCTGGCCTGGGCCGGCATGGCTCTGGTACAACATGCAGGGTCCAACAACGCACAGTGCACCACATTTTGGGGGATCCACAAACACACTTTTTGCGTCGGCGGCTAGGCAGCGTGTCTGCGCTGGCGGGAGGGCAAAAATTGGACGAACAATTGCGAATTAAGCCGCGATGCACGGGGGGAGGAGAGGGAACGCCAGGCGACGGCGGGGAGGAGAAGGAAGCCGGGCCCGCTCACAGCGGGGCCAGGCGGCGGCGGAGGGGCGGCGCTGGGGCGGGGGCCAGCGGCGCCGGGGTAGCAGTTGGGGGGGCCACAAACACACACACACACATTCACACATTCACACATTCACACATTCACACATTCACACATTCACACATTCACACATACACCCACACACACTCACACACACATTCACACACACTCACACACACATTCACACACACACACACACTCTTGCATCAGCTGCTGGTCGGCACAGGCGGGACAGGCCAGCGCGAACTTGCAATGATGCGCGTATGACGAGCGCGCTCGAGCAAAAAGGCCGTGTTTCCCGTCGTGAGGGGCGGGTCGCAGGGAGCAGACGGGGAGACAGTCCAGCGAGCGTCGTGCACCAGGTCGTCGTTTCCTTATTCATTGTTTTGCCGATCGGCGCGGGCCCTCGCCCCCCCCCTCTCCCCCCCCCTATGGAGTAGATCTTGGCTGTTTTTGGCGCCTTTTTCGAGCAAGTGGAGCCCCTCCCCCAGAGGGCGCACTGTTGCAAACAGTCGCCTCAAGCAGATGTCCAGAGTCAGACCCCCCCTCCCCCCCTTTCCGCCCAATGTCGAAACGCCGATTCAGAAAACGCTTACCAGATGTTGCACGTGTCGCGCGCTGTTGGCGGGCGGTGTTGCAGCTTCAGAACTCGGGCGATGCAGGCAGGAGGAACACGGGACGACGACGACGACCACGACGACGACGACGACGACGACGACGACGACGACGACGACGACGACGGCGGGACAAAGGGAAGTCCAAAACCAATATAGGTGTGGAAGACGAAAGACGACGCACGACGAGGAGGGGAAGGGGTTCGAAGAAGAACAAACGCCATAAACATAAATTAAGGCGCTCCGCGCGGATTCCTTGGATCCGCGCTGGCCCCCCCCAGCGGCGCCTTTGGCGCCCCCCTGGCGCACTCCGCGCGCCAGGGAGGGGGGTTCCAGCGCAGATACCAGAAATCCGCGCGGACCGTCGAAAGTTTATGTTTATACATGTTTTTGTTGGTTCTTCCAGGAGTGGCTACTCCAGCCGATGGGTGGCAACACGTCGCAGCCAGCGAATTGGGAGATGCGACTGGAGGCCACCATGGGAAGACATCGCCCAACTGGCACGCACGGGCGCCAACACGTGCGGAGCAAAACGGTGTCACGGAGAAAAGGACGGCGAGTGAGGAGGAGTAAGACGAAGCACACGACGAGACGACGAGGGAGACCCAAGCGTACCCCGGCGGGAACGCAACACAGCCAAAGCGTCGCTCAGGCGCAGAGGAGGCGAGACAAAGGACACCACCAGGAACGACAATGGGGACGAGCCGGTTGATTGCTAGGCGAGCAACCGCCCTAGGCGCACCACAGCAAGCGCTAACTCCTGTGGCCGAGCGGGGGAAAAGGAGACGACACATAGGCAGAACCGGCCGGAGAAGGCAGGAAACGATACGGAGGCAAAGGACCCCACGCCACGGCGAAAACAGACGGCGACGACACAATGCAGGGAGAGCGGCCGCAGCATGTGGGCGGCAACCGGCACAATCCGAAACAACAGGCACCAATAGCAGCAAGCTCAGGGAACAGCGGGGTGAGAGACGGGCAGGCGAGCCAGCCCGGGCACACGACGAACTGGCCCTGTGCGGGGCGCTGGGCTGGGTGGCGAAGCGCGGCGGACTTCCTCGAGGAATTGCCAGGCGAAGCCCGAAGGGGGCAGGCAAGGCGACGGGAGAGAGCGGAGATCAAACGCCCGCCGACGGGATGGAGGCTTGCACGCCCACGCGGCGGCCCGACAGGACGGGGCGGACCGCTTCGCGAGCCGTCGCCGTCCTGGCACTGGGCCGCCGCCGCCTCTGTGGCTCGCCGCCGTGCAGCCCCCGCAGCGGCCGCAGCCTGCCGTCGCGCGGCGTCGGCCGCCACCGCGTCGGCCCGCCACGGCACCTGCGCCGCCTCGGCCTTGGCCGCGGCTGCCTTTGCGGCAGGCGGCCTCGGCAGCCGCCCCGCGCTCCTCCGCCGCGCGCTCGGGGCTGCTCCTCCGGGCAGCCCGCAGGACGCGCCACGCGCCTCTCGCGAGCCTGTGGCAGGGGGGTGAGGGGTGGGGCCTCCTCTGGCAGCACCGCCTCCTTGCGGGCCAGTCGAAGTATGCGCTCCGGTCGGAGGCTGCCAGAAGGGTTCGTGGGACAAGGCTCGACGAAGAAAAACCGCCACAGGCAGAAATTTTTGGCGCTTCGCGCAGACTTCTTGGATCGGTGCCTGGGCCCCCTCTGGCGGCGCTTCCGGCGCCGCCCCTGGCGCGCTCCGCGCGCCCTGGAGGGGCTCCAGCTCAGATCCAAGAAATCCGCGCAGAACGCCAAAAGTTTATGTTCATGGTGTTTTCCTTCTTCTAATGGTTGGTTCCGCTGGGCCTGAGGCCCCCCTCCCCCCAGGCCGACTTGAGGCCCCCAAGCTCCACCCGAGGCGCCCCAGCAGCAGCCAAAGTCGCCCTTCTTGCACCAGACCATCCCACCGTTCCCAATCGGGACAGCCCGTGTATGGCTGGATCTGGGCAGCCGTCGTCGTGATTGTGGTCGGCACGTTGTCGCAGACCATGGCGGAGGTGCCTGTGACGGCGATGGCTCGCTCGTCTGGACCGGCGGGCGCTCAGGCGTCAATGAGGGCCACGATAGAAGGCAGTGCCCGTGCCAGTGGGCCCCACCAGCATCTTGTTTGTGTTCCCGGAGACCTGGCGCAGCGCTTGCAAAGAAAGGTATCGGTTGAGCCCGTCTTTCTGTGCCACGTGGTCGGGGACGTTTTGAGTGGTGGACGCTGGGATCCGCTGCAGGCATCTCCCAGGGAAGCTCTGGTTGTCCTCCCACGTCCTGGCAGCAGGGATTTCTCGCGGGGAAGATATCTCGCCTGGTCCGAGCTCGGGGTCCAGGATCTCACAGCCGAGGTAATGAGAACCCATGCGCTCGGCAGTGTCCAGGGCCAGGGCAGGGCAATATACCCCATTGACCGTTTTGCGTCCAGCCGGGCGCGTCCCTCTACAGGAGGAATATCAAAAAACAGACCACGAATAGTGTGAGAGCGATTTTCGAGTATTGTTGACTGTGTTTGAATATGTTTTACTTTTTTGTTATGTTCGCCCTGAATCCGCCTGTAGGGGGACATGCCCGACCTGATCGTAGCCGGGGGCGGCATCGACCGTCAGGGCGGGCGCGCACGACCCCCCCGCTTGCTCTGGTTCACGTGTGGCTTGGGAGAGCTCTGATGCGCCTGACCAGACGATGTCAAAGTGCCGCCCAGCGGGGGCCTGTCCAGTCTGCACCCGTGTCACGACGTGGTTCAGGAGGAGGAAAAACACACAGACACAATTAATCGTCGAGTCCCAGGAAAATATAGGAAAGTATGGGAAGTGGGGGGGGAATACGATAATCCAGAAAATATGTGAAAATATGGAGAATCCTGTTATTTGTGTCTACTATTTGTGTGTCCCAGGGCCCCTTCATTCATGTGTGACTTGTGAGAGCTCTGATGCGCCTGGCCAGACGATGTCAAAGTGCCGCCTAGCGGGGGCCTGTCCATTCTGCACCCGTGCCACGGCGTGGTGGCCTCGACCCTGCGGCTCGTAGGATAGAAGGGGCCCTTGGTCACGGAGTCCCAGCGGAAACCGTAGCATGCATTGCATTGGCCAGTCTTTTCGGTGTCTCGCTCTCCTGGCGGGGTCCCGCGGATTGCATGTAGAGTCGGCCTTCTGGACGAGTTTGTATCTTGGGTGCGTAAGGCTGACCCGGTACTCGCCTGCTCGAACTCGCCTCCGGCACTGGTGGTGGTGGCGGTCTTGGCGTCTGCCGAGCTAGCTAACTGCCCCCGTGCCGGCGGTCGGCATGAAGACGTGCCCATGTGGCGCAGGGGACCGCACTGCGGAGGACGCCCAGGCGGGGACGGGACTACAGCGTGACGCGGCACCTTCGTTAAAGGGGGCGGTGGTGGCGTGCCAGTGGATGTCCGCAAGGCGGCGCCCCCTGGGGCTGGGTCGCTGTGGCTGCAGCCAGCACGGCGGGGGGTCGGCGTCCATGGGGCTGGTAGTGCTCGGAAGCAGACATGGCAGGAGCCCGTTTCTTTATTGTTTGGGGCATGGCGGGCGTCATGGC